AACTCATTAGACAGCTCCAAAAAAAATCTTTACTGCCTCTGCAGACAGTCAAAACAAAATTTATTGTGTGTATTTACTAATTCCCTAAACCCCCCGGCGGTGTCGCAGATCAAAAGTCAACGGATTAAAGCAGGAAAGAAAGAGGGGGAAAAAAACCTCCATAAGCACCTGCTGGAACAAAGCAAGAGGCTCCAAGTCCAGATGAAAAGACAGACATGGCCTAAACCAATGACATTTGGCTCCTAAATCCCTGTTTATTGTAAATACATAGAGGGAGAAACACTCAACACCTTCTAATCCTTGTTGTAATTTGTGAGGGACTTGCACCCTGGAGATAGTGGAGGACTGGAATGAGAACAATGTGGAAAATGGGAAAGTTACTGGGATCCTTCATCCTGGGATTCCATGATTTATCAGCCCCTCTGCCTGGCTGCCAGGCCAGGGGTGGTGGCACAGGAGCCAAGGGGCACATCCAGTGCTGGGGAAAACTCCTCCTAGAACTGCTGCTCTGCTCAGCAACATTCCCTGCTTGGGAAGGCAGATCCAAGTGGAATTAATATTGCAAGGAAACATTAGAGCTGAGTCCAGCTCTAAACACAAAAGGCAGTTTCATAAGCAGCACTGCACAGACTCACAGAACAGGCTGGGTCAGAAGGGTCCTCGAGGATCATCTCACTCTGAGTCTCAAAATCCAACACAATTTCAACTCAGCTGAAGGACACAAAATGATGAGGATTTTTTTCCTGCAGTAACTGATGGGAGGGGATTGAAAAGCAGCACAAAGGCAGCTTTGCAGGCTGAAAGGTAGAAGTCCTTCCCTCTGCACTGAACATCTGGTTTCCTCCTGGGATGTCAGAGAAACCCCTGGTAGGAGCAGGGGTTGGAGCAGACTCACCCTCCAGGGGCTGCTCTGAAACCTGCCCAGGTTTCACTCCCAATCTGATTCCATCTGCTCCCAGGAGGACCAACAGAACGTTGTGACTGCACCTCAGAACTCACAATCCGAGGCAGCACGGCGAGGTCTGGGGCAGCAGCAGCGGAACCTCCTCCAACCTACTCCCCACAGGACCCTCCTGATCCCTCGGGGTGCCCCCAGCACTCTCCCATCCACCAGAACTCACCAGAAAAGCCTTCCCAGATGCACGACCTACTCACTGACTTTCCAAGATTAAAAAAAAAAAACAAAAAAAAAAACCCAACCAAACAAGCCTTGTTTTCACACCAACCCAAAAATAGCTCCCAAACAACTGCAAGTTATTTCTGTTCCTTCCACGCCAGCAGAGATTGGAGGCTCGTGTGGCACCGCTGCCACCACGGCCAGGGGACAGGGGACAGGGGACAGGCAGCTGTGACAGCGAGCACAGGGACACACAGCCCCAGCAGCTCCCCCTCCAAAGCATCCCCCAGAGCCAGCTGCTAGTTGTGGATCATCATACTCCTAACAATCACAGGCTAGAATCATCATCACCAGGTTGGAAGGAGCCTCAAGGGCGATCTGGTCCAACCTCTCCTGGCAAGAGCACGGGCTGGATGGGACAGCCCAGCTGAGCCTCCCCAGATCCCTGCCCTGGTTGTTCCACAAAGAGAAGAATCCTCTTAAAAACGCCCTCAGTGCTGAGGCTGGGGTGCCTGGAGCTTCAGCCCAGCCCCAGGGGTCACACTGCCAGTATGAACCTCGCAGATAACTCCGAGTTCAACCCCTCCTTCGCTTGGCAGAGGTGTCCAGGACACGATCCGTGGGAAGTGTTTCCCACTGCTCCTCATGCACACCGTGCATTTACAAACAGGGATTGCACAGGGATTACTGGCTGTTCCCAGAGCCAAAACCTCTGCCCTGCCAGATGTCTTCTTGGCTTTAAGGTGGATGACAGGAGGTGAAATGAGGACTGTGCTGGGAGAGCTCCAGGACAGAGGTGGGTCCTGCCCTTCCTGCAGGTTTTTAACCCTGCCGAAGCGCCCACATCTCCTCTCTTTAAAAAAAATCCCAGCATCCTTAGATGAGACTGTCCCTTCCCTCAGGTCCTTCTTTTCCACACCCAAGCCAGGCTCAGCACAAGGGGCTGCTGGAACCATCCCTGAGAGGCAGGGCCGTGAAGGAAGGAACTTCCCCTCCTCTCCATCATCCTCACACTGACCCCCTCCTGCCATCCCTGGTCCTCCTCCAGCCCTGTCCTCTCCTCCTCCCTCATTTTCTCCCACTGGAAGATTTTTTTTCCTAACTTTAAAACCCTTTCATCCCTTCATGTTTTATCAAGATAGAGCACATTTTGCTCTATTTTGCCCAATATTCAGC